CAGCCCTCAGATAGATTTTCATTTTGGGGAAAAGCTTTGTGCAGCCTTGATATATGTATATAAACTGAAACAGCTGGACTAGTACATCCTAAATTTAACATCCATTCATTCTTTTAATACAACAGTCATTTCTGCAGTTTTTGGGGAGGTCACCTCCTAATAAATGTCCTTACAGAAAATCTAACTGCTCTTTTTAAATCAGCACTTTGACTTTTAATACTTAACTACAAAAAATATCAGATACTTTAAGACTTTTACTCAGGTAATATTCCTAACGGAGACTTTAACTTTTGCCAAAGTAATTTTCTGGTAAGATACTTGTAGTTTTACTCAAGTGTCACTTTGTGGTACTTTATACAACACTGACTCTGTGTACATCTATAATTTCAGACAATTCAAGATGGCTGSCACAGCTAATCTGCCTTAACCTGAACAAAAACAGTTATAACTGAATTTTATAGATACATTTTGGTGCTATGTTAGCTCGTAAAATATTGTTAAAAAAGATAAACTAGAATAGTTCCTGGAGAAACAATGAAAGGGCAGCCCATGCCCTATTTAAATCAAGATTTGAGTTTATCGTTTGTTGGAGATTGCCAACCAAATTTCACCTCAATATGGCTACAAATGGCTGAGTTATGGTCGATTCTTTTTAGCTATGGCAACCATCTTGATTTTTTTTTATTTTGATTCAATGTGAGGTTTAAGCTCAGCGACCACCACACCAAATTTAATCCTAATATGTCCAAAAATGGCTGAATTATGGTCAAATTTACATTTTAGCTGCGGCAGCCATCTTGGATTTTTGATTCGGCTTCAGTATGTGGTGAGGGTCCTTCTCAGTGACCACCACACCAAATTTCAGCCCAAGATGTAAATAAGATGGTTGATTTATTACAGTTTCAAATTAGCTCTGGCGGCCATCTTCAACTTTTATTTAGGATTCAGACTTTGTCGAAGCTTGTTCTTGGCTACTGCTATACCAGTTTTTAGCTTTGAGTGTCTAAAAATGTCAATTAGTGGCACTTTGAGAGTAAACCATTTGTCCGACAGAAAAAGCTGGTTGTTTTGACAAAAAAAATAAATAAAAATTGAAGCGGTGCCTGCAGATTATGAGTTAGCAAAGCTAATGATTTGGTTAGCTGTGCGCACCATTGACTGTAGATAGTAGAAGAGCTACGACACATAAAATAAATCACCGTAAATCGTATAAAGGCCACGTAAAATTATTTAGAGTAAATAAATTTCCTTGTACTGAAATTGAACAACAGAGCTGGGTCCTGGTGAGGTTTTTATTATTGGTCCATGCTAACAGATCTGAAACTCTGACATAGTCGTGGGTGATATGCATTCCTTCAGACTGCCATGTTTTCACTAATCTTCCTGTTTTTGTGTTTCATCTTCTGTTTTGCTGCAGTAAAAGTGGATTTTCAAAGTTCTCCTGTTTGTTTTCTCTGAGATTTGTTGTTTATCAGTTTTCCTTTCGAAGCCCCCCGAGGCGTCAAGAAGTCGGTCAAACGGACATGAAACAGAAACATTAAACACTTTATTCTAAACTGATTCTGATTGATTTAAATGTCATCGCTGAGTCCTCAGAACACAAAAACACAACTTCATATATTACTCCTATACAAAACTCACCCTGATGCATTATTTTATTGACATTCATCAGTTTAAGACGATTTAAAGGGAATGTTTGACCAGAAATAAACAATGGATCCCCCCACAAAGAAATAAAAACAGGCTTTGCCCCCGTCACTGCGATGCCATCTCTCCACGAAGCCATTAATATTTGATGTGATCACGGGCCTCCATAAGCAAATTTCACTTTCAGTCTGTAGCAAGTTGAGCCAAAGCATGATTAATTTAGTATTTATACCCCGACAACCCTTTAAACAACACAGAGTCCCAACCTCCCCAACTCACCCCGCCCCGCCCCGCGCCACAAAGCAAGGCACAGTTTGGAGCAAAAACCAGCAGGCCCTAAATCATCATCATCAGCCACAGTTATTCTAGATTACTTCAGTTTGGGGACAGATTAATTTTCGGTGAGCTCAGTCCGACAGGTGTGTTGGAGTCAGCTGCACT